TTCGAGGTTTTAAAGACCTTTAAAMTRATTTGTTTGTATTTTGTGTATTATTTGTGTGTTTTTATTAAACATTTTAAAGGTCTTTCGTAGTTCGTAAATTTGGTTTACCTGTTGGGCTTCCTTTGGCCTTGGCGCGGCCGCGTCTTGAACCTGAAAATTGGCGGGAAAATCAAAAAATTTCTCGCAACATTTTTAAATGTGCAAAAAACATAAACTTKTCGTCAAAATTTAAATTTTTCCCTCATTTTTGAGATTTTTTTGGTTTAATCTAATTTARATTTAGGTCAATATGAGTCGTTAGTTTTCGAAATGTGATTTTTTWAAAGTTCTGAATCAATTTATTTCCATAAATTTTGTCTTCAAAAAGGACAACCTATTGGTCTTGTTGTTGTTCAATCTAAATGGAGAAGAAAACCATACATGAACGAGTATTTGAATGGCTTTGTATCTGTAATGGTTTAGAAGATCTCAAGAAACAGTGCCAGGAGCATCTAAAAGATTATCCAAAGGTTTGTCAAACTCCATTTTCAAAAATTGTACAGTACTGAAACCAATTAAGTAAAATCAACGATGTACGATACCTTGCCTTTTAACTCTGGATCTTTTTTTCAGGGAAAATTGGTTTACCGATTTGTTTTATCGATTGATCTCGCAGAATTCATAAATTTTGATGGTAAGACAATTGTATAAATAAATGGTGAATATGAATTAAACTTAACTAAACTTAAACTGATAAGGATTCAAGCCAGGACCATTTTGTCAGAATTTTTGCTTATTTAGTTTTTATTTGTTTTGTTTGCTGTTTGTTTTTTGTTTCCATGTAGCATTCCTTGGTAATCTCGCCCTGCACAGTCCTTTGAAGCTAGGATCTCTGTTTCAGGAGGTGAGTTTCAAATCAAGATAATGAATAAACAAATCAAAACAAATAAACAATCGCAAATGTTATGACCATTTCCGCCATGTTGGAGGACATGTGCACTTAACGTACATTTATGGCATGCTTCTATATTTACTTCTAATCTATACYTGTTAAAGTGTAGATAATATGGATATAATACTACCAAGTTTTATTTCGAAATATCACACGAGATGTCATTCATGATATTTTCATAGGTTTGCTATATCACGATTAACACTCTGAATTGGATTCCGGAAGTTACCTCTTCTGCGCAAGTCCTTGTCGTCCTCAGAWTCTCAACTGTCCCACAGTTGCCAGAGTAAGTAAGGAAATAAAATTTCTATAAAAATAAATTTCAAAAAGTCCAGTTAACGAGTTCTTAAAGTTCTGATGGCAGTGCTATTTACTGACAGATATACATCGACTGACCGTAGGAGTTTGATGAACAATACTCGTATTCATACTGGGACGTTTAGCATTGTGGGCGTGGTATGTGCTATGACTGGCGTCACCCAATACACGTGAGTACTGCTCCACGAAACATCTAACTGTACAAGGTCAATGCTTAGCTTTTTGTTAAAGAGCTTTAAAGAAAAAGAAATTAATGCCATAGTTTTGATTTTATACCGATTGCGCGTGACATAAATATCCGCCATGGCTAGTTTCTCAAAACGCGTCCCACATGGAAAGGAGTGACTATGAATGTTAAGATATCAGMGAAAAAATCAAGATATTGGGTATGCTGGTCATAGCAAGGGGTTAATCATCTACGGACTAGGGGCCGACTAACCTCTCCCTTAGGCTTCGGCCGAGCTTCCTGATCAGTCTGTAAATCCAGGGATAGCGGTGTCGGGGCCGAAATCTCCGGCGTAGCCGTAAATGCTTCGCGCTGCCATACGACGGTTCAGCACTCGATGTCTGGAAGTATGGTCCTCAATAACCAATCAATGTAAAAGAAAAACAAACAAAAAAAAAGCAAACAAAAAATAATGTCAAAAACAATTGTTCCTAGGGATTCGTAGTACGCACGCGCGCTGTATTCGAAAGAGGCAACATCCACTGCACAGCCCACTGTACTAAACTTTTTTAAATGTTGATGATTAATAACATATTCTCTTGTTGATAATAATGATTCTTGAAAGATCATGTTATTTATTTCATATTACAGACAAAGTGCTAGATTCTATTGCCCCATCTCAACTTGCTTCGGATCATCTCGTTGTTGTTACATACGAGTTCACCTTGCTGGTAGTACTGAAGCACTTACTACAGGGTAAGGATCAGCCATTTCTTTTATAACAGCTAAAAGTAATATTATTAAAAGTCTGTGACTGATCTAGAAGGAGAATGGGTGCACATGTATGTCCCCCTTTAAAGTCCCTTCCCCCTTGATCAGCTTTTGAAACTAATCCCATGTTTTATGCTCTTTTTGTTACCTCTCAGGACGATTTTTACTTGTAAATACTGTGGAAGTACTTTGGAGGAAGACGCAACCTGCCGCACTCTGTCAGGTACTCTAATTTGATTGGCTAAAATTTCGCCCCCCTTTTAAGACCAGGCCTACATCAATCAACTGAAAACTTATAGAACTACTAGTTCAAGTCTGTGTTTTAAATCCAGATAAATGCATCATACATGTGATAAGTCCAGAGAGCCTTACCAGTAAGACCTGGATCGGAAACCATCAATTATGGACTCGCCATCAGGCAGTGCCTATTTATGTCAGAGGTATGTATATGCTGGTTAAACCTTCGAAATCTATATRAAAACGACCCAAAAAGGAAGTATTGTAGCCTGCGTGCAGCCAAACTTTTCTCTCGGACTTAACAGTTAGTTAGTTCAGCTGCACGCAGGCTAGTAGTATTGTTAAGTAAAATTTTTTCTTTTGTCTTTTTGCATTGATCTTAGATGAAATGACCAAACAGTTGGAGCTGGGTGGGTTGTATAAAATCACCCTCTTCCATTTTTTGGATGGTTGTAATGGATCTGACGAGATCTCTTCATCTACACCAGTATTTGAGGTATAGAATAAATGATTTCGAATTCTCTCTCTTTTGCAAGCGCGCGATCTAGTTAGCGTATCGAAATCCCTAGATCTTTGTATCACCATGCAAAAGGCCTGCTTCAAGTCCACTCTTTAAAAATTCTGATATTAATGCTYAATCTTTTGCATTTTGAAACCAACAGGCAAATAATGTAGAAAAGGTATGTACAACATTACAGGGGCGTGTGTAAGGGGACACTTACAGGTGCGTGTCCAACGGGTCCTAAATCGATGACTTCCTACCAATGCCCCCTACCAATGGCAGAACAAATGCTTTACCTGCATATGATTTGGGAGAAGGGTGGAAAAGACGGATGATGTGTCCCACTCACCCCCTCCCCCTGGTAAATTCTGACCCAGCCCTATGAGATCATATGCATAGTCCTTCTCCAGCCTTATTAACGTTATACGTTTCCGTTTTAGATCACTATTTCTCTGCCTACTGGTAAATATATGTATTCAAGTCTTCCAGATTCTATCATTACTCTATACGAAGGTAGGCCGGTCCATTTCCAGTCTCCTAGATGTCACCAAAGTTTATTCGGTTCTTGTCCYTTGTTTTCATAAACTCACTTTATTGCTCATAAAATACGAAATCTATTTTTCACAGATAGGAAACAATCTCCATGGAGTTTTGCCTCTAGYATTGCCTACTGTGTTGGAAGTAAGTGAATGAAATCCACGCTATAAAATTATGGAAGGGAGGGTCTTTAACATCTTTAAACGTATAGTTGTCAAAGGGAGCGCATGTAACATCGTTTCCGCTCTTTATAATAAACATTGCAAAGAATATTAATACCAGCCTATCTCATTTTAAATTATAAACATTTACTTTTGCTATTGCTTTTCGCCTATCGCTTATTGTCTATCGCCTTTGGCGATGACAACCTTTTTTGAAATACGTATATATCGCCAATTCTGTTGCCTGGAAGCTGTTYGAGTGTCATCAACTTATCCCAATTCTGCTCTGATCAGTGCCCATAGCACATCCAGGCTCTTTCCTGCATCTCAAGATGGGTCTATTAATGAGCTTGGTTCTAGCAGAACAAATAGACAATGATACTATCAGAGGAATCGACATCATGGTGATAGGTCATGACCTTCTGACMATTCAAAGACTATTGATGTACGGGGCTTCATTTGCTAGAAGATTGGTCATGCATTCTTCAGTCTGTGATCTGGTTGCATCTGTGACTCGTGATCCCTCTGGTACAGGAACGTTCCTCATCAATGGTAAAGTACAATACTGATAGTAAAGAATATTACATGAGAGAGGAGAGGAGGGTATGCGGAAGAGACTCGGATTTAAGCAACCATTGCATAAAAAAGAGCTTTGGGCGTAGGGGTTGGGGGCAACTTACACATGCATGTTCCACCTAATCTACRACACCCTACCCCCTCCCCCTCCCACGCACACACGTATTCTTCCTACTCGCTAGCTTAACTTTATTTGGTTTTACGACTATAGCTGGCTGCATGCTGCTTGCAAGTAATGGACTATGCCTGATGACAAATTTAAATGCGCTGAGAAAAGAACAGAAAGAAAAATTAAGAAGAGGTATGTCGCTATAGCATGTGCTTAAAAAAACTAGAGAGATGACTGTTAAGTCCTGTGGATACATCAATGTAACACTTGCAACTCAATCTCTTTCTTTCCACATCTAGTGATGGAAAACAGAGGAGAGACGATAGAAATCCCTAAAAAGTTTACCGAATGCACCCAGCACCTTCGAGTTCCCATAAAGACCACTGCATGGGCKTGTTCTGAACCCCTACAGACAGCACCTAAATGGGGTGTTACAGAGCTCTGGGATCAGTCCCTAACACTGGAACCAAAACAGGTGCTGGATTTCAGTTGYGTAACCAACTTTGACCTGGTGATTTGTTTTTGTACCTAAATTCAGAATTCTCGAGAAATGCACCTCTTACTCATAACATCAACTCTCTCTACTGAGATTKTGGAAGCGCAAATTTGACAAGACAATGATTACCGCATAGTAACCTACTTCGGTTTATTTTCTCCAGAGTGCAGGCGCAGCTTTGCAAGGTTTAACAAAGTAAGTAAACATCTAAGGCTGAATGTACTGYGACGCAATCGTTGGCAAATTAATATTTATCAACGAGATCATCTAAATTAAATTTAGTTATCGATTTATAATAACTATATTGCTTTTCATCAGCCGATTTGCGCTAGTATTTAGCTTAGCAGATGGTGAAGCTGAAAATCAAAACTACAACGACAATTTAGCMTTGCAACGGGCTATGGATGACAATGAAGAAAGTGGTTATATATCCGAAGACGATATGAAACAGGTATGTTGTGATATTCTGTACCTCAAAGGTATGTCCTAGACAGAAGGAATTATGTATAGCTCAGACAGGCGTGTATCAATCCCCTCCCACGAGAATGGAAGGACAAGTGACATGGCCGCCATATTGGATGATATGACATGACATGACCCCTAGACCAAATCTTTTGTTGAAGCCAACTAACATGTCGACTATGACGTCTCATACATGCGGCAAGACATGTATGCCATATTGCATAACATGAAAAAAGACACCTAGTTCAAATCTTTCGTCAAAGTCAACCAGCATGGCAGCACATGTGCAGGGACAAAAGRCATGGCCGCCATGTTGGATGACCATGTGGRGGAAAAACACCTAGCACAAATCTTTCTTTGTAGCGATGCAATCTTTATTGTCCTTTATTTTTTTGTGGTAGTTTCTTCAGTTTGTGTCCCAAAGGCCCATCAAGTTTGGAGAATCACCTCAAAAGCTCATTCAAAGTTTTTATCTGGCGGGAAGACGAGCCCGGAATTCAAAAGGAGATCTTCCTTTGTCTTCACTACAAACCATGTAAGAACAATAACCTGCAGGACAGTTYGTGATATCTATCTGTAACAATGTATCATCAACATCACCCCTATTATCATTATCACAACCATTATCATCATCACCACCATCAACACAATCACCATCATTATCAATGCCACCATCATCATCCAGAGCTTTCAATATTTTTTAGACATCACCACCATCACCTGCATTATCATCACCGTTATCATTCAACACTACCATCATCATCACCACCACCAATTACACGAGGGAATATATTTCATTTTTATGCACATTCCCTAATTCTTCATATTATTTTTCATGCTTTAACAGTACTTCAATGGCAGCTGCCCATGGCAAACTAAGTTTACGTGACCAGGTAGTTCTGCATTTACAAATACTAGTAAATCTTCATAATCTTGTAATCCAATCATTCTATAMAATGCCTTGATTTTGTGTCTATTGAAATGTAGGTCATTGATGAAGATGTGGTTGTTGCAGTTTTGATGTTTGATAACTCCTTACGCATCTCACATGGTATGACTGTTTCCTTTGTTCAATTATAACCCCCATCCAATTCAATGTTTTCTTTCTTGTCATYRCTTATCACCACTGCAAAGTACAGCAGTGGTAGACCTTAACAGGGTCAAACTCAAAAAACATATGAAGGCATCTCTGGGAGCCACTTTACAGTCCATGTATGATCCTGGAGCACAGCTCTAACCAGTTTGAACTAGTTAGGGTTGATTTGAGAGGATGTAGAAAAACCTGGAGGGCCAGAAAAACTATTGGAGTCAGGCCCATGTTCAATCCTGTGCTTCTAACCTTTAAGCTTGCAGAGGGGAAAAGATTGTTTCTGTTAACAGTATCAATAACAACTTGACTTTATGATACCTTAGGTTACTCGCTGCTTGGGTTACAGCAAGATTTTTTAAATGCTCAGAGTATAATGTCTGTAGAGGTAAGTCCTTCAAAAATATCTCTTCTTGTGTCACTTACAAAGTGGTCTCATAAAATAACTTTACTAGCCTTACAACTGATATGAAATTTGTTTTCTGTACTTCCAGAATGATATYAAGATGAAAGAATATCAGAAAATTCTCTATAACTTCTGTTCCAATTATAAATCTTACGGCAGCCCCTTTACTAGCAACAGACGTGAAGAATAAAATAATCTCTGGCATTTTCAAGCATGAAATTTTTAAAGTTTATTATTTCAGCAAGGTTATGAATTAAATGTAAAAAATATTCATGGTGTGTAAGTGAAAGAGTGATTAAGAATTTTAAATAATTACACTTAAATTTTTAAGGTGGTTTCGTTTCATTTAGCTTTTTTTCAAATACTTTTCTTGTATGGGTAAAACCTTGCTTGCCTTTATTGAAGGAGTTGGGTCCAGCAGAGGTTGGCGTATCTCTAAGATTCGACAAAACAATCATTTTACTAACAAAGGCCATTGATAAAAAATCAAAACGTCTGGTTATAATTAATTAAAAATTTTGATAATATGTATCATGATTGCAAATTCAAGATATTTATAGTAAACAATCATATATAAAGATAAAAAAGGAGTTAAAGAATTTATTTTTTTCTCTCACTCTTCTTCTTATCCTCTCTCCTCCCTCCCTTCTCTTTCCTTTCTTACATTTTACAGTATTTRTTTTATTCTTTTTTGGKSRKGGGKGKGGGGGGRRGRGKKTGGGTACTTTTGAAATCATGAWCCCTGAATAAATCTATWAGATAATTAGGAGAGATATTGAATCAAAAAGATGCTTAGCAGAAGCCAGACCACATACTTTCCAATATTACGCATTCTCATTTTCGCTTCAGGTGGAATCTCTTCCTCTTCATCACTCTGCCATACAAACAAAATAGTCAGTTTACATTTACGATCTTAAGCACCCATTGCCACACCTAGTATGGAATGAGTAAGTTGGGTTCCCTGTGCCCTTAACATGAGTCTAAAGCTAGTCTTCCACACACAGTTCAAGATCACATGGGTTAGAAAAGACAAACAATTTGATTGGTGGACATAAATTCTGGTGCTTTTTGATTGGTTCTCAGAAGCAAATTCAAAATTCCATACCTCGTCGTTTCCAAAAGCTGCTGCTACACTGCCTGCCTTTTTTTGTATAACCGGTTCTGCTTTCTTCTTTTTTGCAGGAGCCTTTCAATTGAAAACATCAAAGACTTTAGAGTTGTTAAAACTGTTTACCCTGTGTCTTTTAATTAAGACAATCAACCCTGAGGTGAGGGAGTTGGGAGTACAAAACATGTTACATTAGTCTGGTAATGGACGTGGAAATTTACCTATCAATGTTATGACAATGTTATGAGGTTTGTGGGGGGGAGGTACGGGATAAAGTATGCCTTTGATTTAAAAGTTCTCAACCAGGTACCGGAAGTATTCCCTCCACCACACATACACCCCACTACYCCACCCTGCTAGGGCTGATACAAGTGTCCCTTGCCCATCCCCCCTTGAGAACAGCATTGATTAGCATATTTATCACATTACAGTAAATGAATATTTTGAAATTCAAAAACTCACGTTCAACTTTATGGTAATTCCACCGCCACCCTTTGATCCAGACAACTCCAAAGGTTTAATAGTTTCTATTGGRCCTGATTTTCGCTTTCCCATCCAGGTAAAACTGCTAGGTTTGTTGTTCATCCTTCCTCCATCCTGGTTATTCTTCTCTGTCGATGCTTCGCCAGAAACTCCTTTATAAACAGACAAAGCACTGTATTTTGTGAGATTTAAACATACTTTGCTGGTAAACCATGCTTCAAAGTAAGCTGATCTTTATAAAGTATGTAGCATTGAGACCTTTAAGCGGTTTATCCTCTTCCTTTTTGCACGAATCTTTCGAAGAGTTTTCGACTCTGTTGACCGCGTTGTCCGCCATCTTGAATCATAAGAAATTATGGTCTATTCCACAGGGAACCCATCTTTAACAAAGACCTGATAAACTTGTCCATTCAAGTCATAAACGTCGTTTGATCTTTTTCCTTCTAAGATGGCCAAAAGAAAGTTCATTATTGATTGTGATGCTGGAGTAGACGACGCATTTGCTCTTATATTAGCTCTAAACCAACCAGATGTGGACGTTTTGGCCGTGACTTGTGTTGGAGGGAACACAGAACTAAACGATGTCTGTATAAATGTTATGAAGGTGTTGGARGTCTGTAAGAGAACAGATGTACCTGTCTTCAAAGGAGCTTCTACCTCTTTAATTGGTAAGAATATTTGTTATTAGGCAAGAGATTAGATTTTTTGTTATTTTTGGGTAACTTTTAACTTGATCGTACTCGGTAATTTCTATAAATTTGTAGAAATGTTTGTAATTTTATATGGTAATATGTATCTTCTGTTTTTCTAATATTACTTCCGGTATTAGATAATATTACCAATTATATTAAATTGATAATATATTAATATTGAATTTGWTGAAGGTGTGACCACTAAACGAGCRTCCCATTTTCACGGCAAGGATGGTTTGGGAGATGCAACAGGCATTCCTGATCCAGACATGAGCAGACTGAAAGAAGAGCATGCCGTCAATGCCATCCTCAGACTAACGAGGCAGCATCCTGGAGAGATAACTCTAGTGGCATTAGCTCCACTGACTAACATAGCACTGGCATGCCGTCTGGACCCAATGTTGCCACAGAATCTAAAGAATGTTGTAATAATGGGAGGAAACTGCGAAGCAAAAGGAAATGATGATAGAGTCTGTGCTGAGTTTAACTTCCACACTGATGTTGAAGCAGCATCCGTTTGCCTCAATGAGCTCACTTGCCCAGTTGCCATAGTAACATGGGAGACTTGTCTGCAACATTGTTTGTCGTGGGAGTTCTATGACGAACTCACAAGCCTTGGTACTGACAAGTCTAATTTCTTTAAGAAAATCACTAAAACATCATCTGAATTTTACAGGCAAAAAAAGGAAGGTTATGGAATGTTTTATACTTGCTGTGATTTGTTTGCCATGGCAGTTGCTGTTAGCCCCGACATCGTTGAGGAACAAACCCATGTTCACGCTACCGTGGAGCTGAGTGGAAAACACACCAGGGGTCAAATGGTTGTAGATTGGAGAGGTTCTCTCAAGAAACAACCAAACCTGATGCTTGTACGAAGGTGTAATATTGAGAAATATAAAGTACTTGCTCTGAACTCTCTTAAATAGATTCCCAGAACACTGAAGGACTTGTTAATGGCATAAGCAGTCAAGGATTTGCAGGATTATTATTTAAAAGCCATCTTGATTTGAGCATATAAATACTTCTCTATCAATGGGACACCATCTTGCCTGGTTTCCACTTAAAGTATACATCAAGAGAAAAAAATGTATTTTCAAAATCACCTATATATATGTGAACAGTGCAGTGGTATGGTTGCAGTAGTTTTGTATGAGGTCTTCTCTTTTTAGAGATATAAACATTTGAAATATCAATATGCAAATAAGATGACGTAAATTCAAGAATGGCTTACATTCTCCTCATATATACTCCACATTATGACCTCATTGTGCGATCCTCTAACGCGCATGTAATTTACAATAGTGTTTTGAAGTGAAATAACCTAAAAGTGTACAAGACCCTATATTTCAGTTATAAGGATAATTTGCAAATGAAAAAACAACAGTACTTCCCACAACAGCATTGTTGTATAATAATAAATTAGACTTAGTTATATCATCTCATTTGCATATTATTGATATTTCGAATCTTTATATTTCCAAAAAGAAAATTCCACATACAAAAATACTGCAACCATGCTACTACACTGTTCACATATAAGTAATTGTGGAATAAAAATTTTTGCCTTGATATACACTGTAAAGGTTTCCACTCAAGAGAGGTTTGTTTTACAGTCAATACGGGAAGAAAGTTTCAGGATGGTGCAACTAGTTGTTYTTTTAAAAGGGTGTTAGCTTAATAGAGGCTATTATTGTTAAAACTGCTTGCTTTCAGCTATCTTCAATAGAGATTAGATCATCTTTAGTTAACGATAAGGAATGAACACCAAGAAACCAACACCAAGTGATTAAAATCCTAGGGTTGTTGGGTAAATAGTTGGCTTGAAATTCTTGGGGATTAATCCAGTTAAAAGACACTCAAATATATCTGCCTGGGAAGTAAGTAARGAGGGTACCCACATTCTCTGTCTCAAAAAGATGATAACAGTGTAAAGCTAAATACAGTAAAGGGGCAGCTAGTGCAGATGTGGGGCTTAGGTAATGTCCACTCGATTATCAAGTCTTGGCTCCCTTAACTTTTAGTCATATATGTACTACAGCTGTCTGCTATATTTTGAAATTTAAGGCTTTCCCACTGGTGCTTTGCAGTCCATAAATAATCTAACCCAACCTGGAAAATACCAGTTTGTTGCAAAATAGCTTTTCCCATATACATGATCAAAATTGTATGTAATTTCCTAACAGGACAAAGTAGGGCTTTTATAGACGTCAATGGAAGTGTTTCGATGACTGTCRGAAACAAAACGTTTTCCAGGCCTTAAGCCTATGGAACATTATGGAAAGCTACCTCACCTCAACTGCAAATTGGACAATTTTCAAAATGTGATAGGGAAGCACTTTAATTYGTGTGAGAATTTCTGATGATATGCTAAGAAGGGTTGGGGAAATTAAGGTAGACAAATTTTGCAACTAGTTTGATTTTGCTAGACTTGTATTGTACGATTTATTTTGCATTTAAAATTACAATTGATTCTTTGCTAATTTTCACCATCACGTTTATTTCCGTAAAAAGTCAATTGCTTTTTTTTATTTGAACTCTTACTTTTCAAGTAACGTTTTCCTATTTCATTTAATTTGTCATTCTCTTGAGTGTTATTTCGTTTTTTACTAGTACCAATTTAATTGATGAATTAATGAACAGGTTTTGATAGGAGTGAGATATCAACACTCAAATGGGTTCCACTCTAAACCAATCACAAACAAGAATAGAGACACTATCYAATCACAATGCTTGAATAATTATGGAAACCATTTAAGAGTCAGAAAATGTTTATACTTCTATTTGGATAGAGAATTTTGATTCCCAAGACGAATGAAATGGAAAAGCATTACTCTGCAGAGTAATAGGGTCTATAATTGCCCTTATTTAGGCATTCTTTCTACTGATGCGAGCAGGCGGCGCATGTGTCGAAGATCCACAACTCCAGCAAATTCAAAGTGTTTTTGTTTCAAGAAAGGCATGTTTGCCATGTCGTCATATTCTACTTCCCTTAGGTTGTCTAAGTACATTGGAAGACCTAAGGAAACCAACCATTCTTTAACCGAACCTAATTTGCCAAGGTGGTCTGGTTCTTGCGGATATAATGAGGAGTCGCATGGGATCTGCAGAATAAAAAATTAACGTGAAACATTAAAGTTTAAATCGAGTCAACCCCTGTCTCCGTTCCCCTAAGGCGTTTGACATTTTTTCTCTCTATAGGAACGATGAATAGACCTTTTGAGCTTTGGCATAATTTTTTTTCCATTTCAGACCATGTGTCATTCCCTAGAGTATGATTTCCCTGCTTAACAGCTGTGCATGAGAAGACACGTATATGGATACATTTCAAATGAAGAATCTTGGTGTGCTAGTCTGAGGGGCTAGTTCTCAAATGGTACTCGTAAATTCTTAAGAAAGAGGGAGTATTAGAGCATACTCACTGCTGGCCGATGTTGTTCCTTAAGCTTTAAGCATCGTATTCTATCCATAATTTCAACCACTTCTTTTTGTGACCTTCTCATTTCTTCTGTGTATCTGTCAATGAGATTGACAGGAACATCCCATTTTCCATCCTGCATAAACAACAAAAACAGAGACCATTTACATCAATTCAGTTTGGGAGTTGTCATCTTGTTTTTTATACTCTAGTTAACTTGAGAATCCTTGTTTTTTGGGTTCCTTTTTTTCTAACAAAATGACTAAACTTACTTGAGAAGAATAYGGCAGTTCAGTTAAATCAATCTGTTCAATACGCAATCGTCTTTCAATCAAATCAGACAGTGAGTGAGATGGACGTTTCYGTGGTACTTGCACAACATTTAGATTTGAGTGATGATCAACGCCCCGTGTGGTCGATTCCTGTTTCTCCTCACCATCTTCTTCAGCTTTCTTTAAAGCACCACCTGGTGTTAGCTTAGGGGGTTTGGGTGGCAGCTGAGGCTTACGCTTCACGGCAGGTTTTGGTTTTGTCACGGGTGGACCTGGGTGCCCTGCTTGCCCTAGGGACCCAGTGTGCCCGGGGGACCCAGTGTGCCCGGGGGACCCAGTGTGCCCGGGGTACCCATTGTGTCCCGGTGACCCTCTTTGTGCTGGCGATCCTGTTTGTGCTGACGACCCTGTTCGTGCTGGCGATGCATCTTGTTCCTTTGATACCRTTTCTTCTGGTTTTCTTGCTTCTGAATGAGCCTTCTCTTTAATAATATTTCTTTGTTTTAATAAAACTGTTAGTTCACTCGTCTCATTGTTCGAACGTGAGGTGTCACCTTTTAATAGTGATGGCCGAGGAGGCTTGATAATGTGTTTACTATCTCCTCCAGTCCTGCTGACAGGTTTTAGTGACGTCAACAAGTGTTCCGGAGGCGGAGGTGGAAACACATCATCTTCTAAAGACATTCGGTTCGATTTAGTTTCTGACCCAGCTGATGTTCCTRAGTCTTCTTGTTTGCTTGATGGACAAGGCGCTGGGGGTAACRGAGGAGATAAACACCTCTGTTCACTCGTTAATTTAGCATCAGCTTTTTCTGTTTTAGAATTTTCTCCCAAGGACTTTCTACGTGGTGGACATTTTGGTGGTTTTGGTGTTGTTGTCTTGTCTAGTTCACTCTTTGTATCAATATCAGGAGAACTTCCTTGCAACCCAATCAAAGGCACAGTTGATTGTCTTGGGAGAGGTCTTGGAGGAGGGGGAGGTGCTTTTCTCAAGGCATGAATGGGTGGAACAGGTTTTGCAGGAGTTATCGGCAATGAGCTTTTCCTTGTTAAAGAAGTTTGTGTGGGTTTGATGTTTCTTGGGAGAGTACTGRCATGGATAGGAGAGGTGCCCGGAGATGGGAGAACACCTGTTAAGAGATTAACTTAGATTAATCTTGAGTTTTCAATGTCAAAATATTTGAATATTTCTATCTTTTAAAAGAGTTATAAAAGCAACAACAGCAGCCACACTAGGAAGAACAGCAGCAACAACAGCAGCAGCATCAACAACAACAACAGTAGCAGCAACAGCAGCAGCAACAACAGTAGCAGTAACAACAGTAGCAGCAACAACAGCAACAGCAGCCACACTAG